CCATGGGTTTTTAAATAGCATGTATATAAATCAGAACCAACTGTTACCATTGAAAGAGCCTGTCTGTGCCTCTTCCACCCTGTACATCTAAGCATGACACCTAGGTAAGTTACTTTGAATAGGTTGCTAACTTGTATGAACAAACATAATGATGACTATGTACATAGGAAGTATTTTGTAATATTCACAGTGCTTTCATATACAACAAAGGGAGGGTAGATGTAGTGTGGTGCATAGGAGTTTAAAGCAAATGGGCTTGGAGTGTGGGTACCTGGCTGCAAATATTAACTCAATTACAAACTTAGCTACTTTGGACAAGTCTCCTACCATAACCTCAATCTTCACATCTGTAAAGTGGGTACAATAATACCCATCCTGCCTATCTTGTAGGCTTATTACAAGGTTTACATGGGATGCTTCCTAACTCTTCCCACTTCATGGAAAAGGTTAAATTTCATTTAGGGCCCTGGAGCAAATAAAACGTTTATGAGGCTGGAGGTGACCACTCTGGACTCTGGTTGCCTGCCTAACTATTCCAAGGGCTGAGGGAATGAATATCTTTACTTAATGGTATACCAATGCAGAAGCTCTGCAATATAAATATATTTAAAACAAACCTTAGCTGTATATCTATACATGCTCATATTCACATACATTCTCCTGTCATCTACAATAATAAAAGAGAAACATGGTAATTAACGTACGACCGCTACTCTTCCCATTGGCTAATCAGCATATCCTTATGCAAATTAACTGTCAGCCAAGATGGCGGCTGGCAGCCAGGCAACTGGAAGCGAACATAAGGCTTGCTTGCTCCAGTGACTGCAGACTCCAAGGTTCCCCGCCTGACTTGCCGGCCTCTGAGCTGCAACTCTAAGAAACATTGTAACAAATATAGAAGCTAAACAAAACCCCAGAAACCAGCTTATAGCCGGCCAGGATCTCAGAGCTGGAGTTATACATTGTTTCGATTATAGCAACGGAAGCCTCAGAGCTAGAGCCAGAGCTAAAGCTGGCCCAGAATAAAAAAGAAAAAAAAAAAGAAAACAAGGAGCGGTTGGGAGCTTCAGTCAATTGCCAGCCTGAAAGCAGCCCTCAGCCCCTCACCCAGACTGGCCAGGCACCCCAGTGGGGACCCCCACCCTGAAGGGTGTGTGACCAGCTGCAAACAGCCATCATCCCCTCATCCAGGCTGGCCAGGCACCCCAGTGGGGACCCCCACCCTGAAGGGTGTGTGACCAGCTGCAAACAGCCATCATCCCCTCATCCAGGCTGGCCAGGCACCCCAGTGGGGACCCCCACCCTGAAGGGGGTGTGACCAGCTGCAAACAGCCATCATCCCCTCATCCAGGCTGGCCAGGCACCCCAGTGGGGACCCCCACCCTGAAGGGGGTGTGACCAGCTGCAAACAGCCATCATCCCCTCATCCAGGCTGGCCAGGCACCCCAGTGGGGACCCCCACCCTGAAGGGGGTGTGACCAGCTGCAAACAGCCATCATCCCCTCATCCAGGCTGGCCAGGCACCCCAGTGGGGACCCCCACCCTGAAGGGGGTGTGACCAGCTGCAAACAGCCATCATCCCCTCATCCAGGCTGGCCAGGCACCCCAGTGGGGACCCCCACCCTGAAGGGGGTGTGACCAGCTGCAAACAGCCATCATCCCCTCATCCAGGCTGGCCAGGCACCCCAGTGGGGACCCCCACCCTGAAGGGGGTGTGACCAGCTGCAAACAGCCATCATCCCCTCATCCAGGCTGGCCAGGCACCCCAGTGGGGACCCCCACCCTGAAGGGGGTGTGACCAGCTGCAAACAGCCATCATCCCCTCATCCAGGCTGGCCAGGCACCCCAGTGGGGACCCCCACCCTGAAGGGGGTGTGACCAGCTGCAAACAGCCATCATCCCCTCATCCAGGCTGGCCAGGCACCCCAGTGGGGACCCCCACCCTGAAGGGGGTGTGACCAGCTGCAAACAGCCATCATCCCCTCATCCAGGCTGGCCAGGCACCCCAGTGGGGACCCCCACCCTGAAGGGGGTGTGACCAGCTGCAAACAGCCATCATCCCCTCATCCAGGCTGGCCAGGCACCCCAGTGGGGACCCCCACCCTGAAGGGGGTGTGACCAGCTGCAAACAGCCATCATCCCCTCATCCAGGCTGGCCAGGCACCCCAGTGGGGACCCCCACCCTGAAGGGGGTGTGACCAGCTGCAAACAGCCATCATCCCCTCATCCAGGCTGGCCAGGCACCCCAGTGGGGACCCCCACCCTGAAGGGGGTGTGACCAGCTGCAAACAGCCATCATCCCCTCATCCAGGCTGGCCAGGCACCCCAGTGGGGACCCCCACCCTGAAGGGGGTGTGACCAGCTGCAAACAGCCATCATCCCCTCATCCAGGCTGGCCAGGCACCCCAGTGGGGACCCCCACCCTGAAGGGGGTGTGACCAGCTGCAAACAGCCATCATCCCCTCATCCAGGCTGGCCAGGCACCCCAGTGGGGACCCCCACCCTGAAGGGGGTGTGACCAGCTGCAAACAGCCATCATCCCCTCATCCAGGCTGGCCAGGCACCCCAGTGGGGACCCCCACCCTGAAGGGGGTGTGACCAGCTGCAAACAGCCATCATCCCCTCATCCAGGCTGGCCAGGCACCCCAGTGGGGACCCCCACCCTGAAGGGGGTGTGACCAGCTGCAAACAGCCATCATCCCCTCATCCAGGCTGGCCAGGCACCCCAGTGGGGACCCCCACCCTGAAGGGGGTGTGACCAGCTGCAAACAGCCATCATCCCCTCATCCAGGCTGGCCAGGCACCCCAGTGGGGACCCCCACCCTGAAGGGGGTGTGACCAGCTGCAAACAGCCATCATCCCCTCATCCAGGCTGGCCAGGCACCCCAGTGGGGACCCCCACCCTGAAGGGGGTGTGACCAGCTGCAAACAGCCATCATCCCCTCATCCAGGCTGGCCAGGCACCCCAGTGGGGACCCCCACCCTGAAGGGGGTGTGACCAGCTGCAAACAGCCATCATCCCCTCATCCAGGCTGGCCAGGCACCCCAGTGGGGACCCCCACCCTGAAGGGGGTGTGACCAGCTGCAAACAGCCATCATCCCCTCATCCAGGCTGGCCAGGCACCCCAGTGGGGACCCCCACCCTGAAGGGGGTGTGACCAGCTGCAAACAGCCATCATCCCCTCATCCAGGCTGGCCAGGCACCCCAGTGGGGACCCCCACCCTGAAGGGGGTGTGACCAGCTGCAAACAGCCATCATCCCCTCATCCAGGCTGGCCAGGCACCCCAGTGGGGACCCCCACCCTGAAGGGGGTGTGACCAGCTGCAAACAGCCATCATCCCCTCATCCAGGCTGGCCAGGCACCCCAGTGGGGACCCCCACCCTGAAGGGGGTGTGACCAGCTGCAAACAGCCATCATCCCCTCATCCAGGCTGGCCAGGCACCCCAGTGGGGACCCCCACCCTGAAGGGGGTGTGACCAGCTGCAAACAGCCATCATCCCCTCATCCAGGCTGGCCAGGCACCCCAGTGGGGACCCCCACCCTGAAGGGGGTGTGACCAGCTGCAAACAGCCATCATCCCCTCATCCAGGCTGGCCAGGCACCCCAGTGGGGACCCCCACCCTGAAGGGGGTGTGACCAGCTGCAAACAGCCATCATCCCCTCATCCAGGCTGGCCAGGCACCCCAGTGGGGACCCCCACCCTGAAGGGGGTGTGACCAGCTGCAAACAGCCATCATCCCCAGACTGTGAGAGGGCACAGGATGGGCTGAGGGACCCCCTCTCCCCCCCGAGTGCACAAATTTTTGTGCACCGGGCCTCTAGTATACTTATAACCTTCCAATGGGGTGTGAGGAATCAGGTTCAGATGTGTAAAGTTCCGGAACTTAGTCCAAAGGCTATGGAGTGGCAGGCCAGGAACAAGATCTCAATGTCTTGTCATCTCAGATGTAATCAGTCTCAACCCTACGCTTTCAATAATACTTTATCATAAAAAATTAGTTAATTTGGAAAATATTACTTAACTAATTACCAAGGTGATAATTCAGAGAAGTAGAATATTTTGTTGCCTTTGACTTATAGCCAAATCATTCAAAGCTATAGGGAAGATAGCAAAATTTATATCGAAAGCTAACAATTTTATAATTGTCCCTGTATAGACAAGTTGTCCATGTCCATATCTACATCCAATTCTATATGTCTTCTATTCTGACAGTAAGAACTATTCAACCTTATTATGGACTTTCATATGTCAGTTGGGATCTATATCTAGGTTATACAGTCATTGGGAAGAACATAATCACTTAATGTATGTAAGGTACTTAAAATAATTCTGGGCAGACTCTAAGTTAGGCACATGATAAGTATTAATTATAATTATTCAAAACAAAGCTCTTCAGTCACTCATGGGGTCAAACACTAATGACTCTGCACTGAAAAATTCCTTCATAGCTAAAGAAATATCATTAGACCCTGGTACTCATATAATGGCAGCAGCATCTGGGGGCTTTTAGAAATTCAGAGCCTCACATCTACTATGACAGAATCTGCATTTTAATGAGATCCCCAGGTAAATTGTGAGCAGAGGCAAGTTTGAGAAGTGCTTGGAGGACTCCAAGGTGTATGCAGAAACCATTTGGTCACTTGTATTTTTGGCAGAAATGATACAAAAGTAGCACTAACTCAGAAAATCTGCTTTATTTTATTGATGTATTCAGACCTAATCTGGGCCACAGAATGTAGATTGTGGGGTGGGGGGTAGTGATCACGTGACCCTCCCCAGTAGAAGGCAGTCTCATCTGAATCAGAGAAAATGCTTTGTGTAAGGGACCATGAGCATGCATATTAGTGTGAGTATGTCATGGTCCTCGTGGAACAAGTGTGCAATCCTGCAACTACTATGGCATATTTTAGGGGAAGTAACAAACACATTTTAATAAGAAGGTGACATTATTAGGAAATCTGCAATTGTAAATATATGGAAAAGAGGAAGTCACTTACATTTACCCAGGGATGCTCAAGGACCTGCATGGCTGAAAATCGCTGATCAACATTGACCAACAGCATCATGGTGATAAGCTCCTGTAAAAAGGAACATTCAATTCTATTTGTCTAACTTTTAAGGTCAAAGATAACAGCCATAAGTCTTTTTTCCCCTTTATCCCACTGGGTGTTTTCAAATGCAGAAGTTCTATTTTATTTGGAAAAGCTCTAAATCTTAAATATATGGTGTCCCAAAAAATGTAAACACACACTTTGAATAATTATAAAGTCAGTGTTTATTAAAATACATTTCATTTTCAAAATTAAGCTGTCATCTGTTAAAGTGTGTATACATCTTTTTGGGACACACTGTACTAATATATCAACTCAACTTATCTGCAATTACTTAATATCTTTAGAAGTTAAAGGAAAGGTGAATATTTGGAATTATAAAAACATAGCTTATAGTGGATGGAAAAAATAAAGTGAAATTAATATTAAAATCAATTTAATGAAAGTATTTTTAGTAGAAAAAACAAATACACACGTTAAAGAATTAAAATTCATTTATTTTTCTAGGATTTTTCACTTTAAAAATAATTTTCTAAATTAATTTAATATAAAAATCAAATTTTAAAAACACTAACTAAATTTTCTTTTGGCAGCTGAATGTAAAAATGTGTTTTTTCCCCTCAACTTCAGGATGGCATATTTAAGTATGAAAGAAAGTTATAAGAAAAGACATACAGAATTGCCAACAGCTAGTTGTTAAAACAAAAACTATATTTAGTAGATAAAGAATTCTAAGAAAAATTGCTTCAAAAATCTCCAGATCAATCAACACAAATAAAATAGAACTATTAAGCAGTAAATGATTTATTGGTTCCGAAATAAATAAAACTTTCCCTTAAGTTCAAATTTATCTGGACCAGAAAAGCACAGCTTGGGTTATAACGATGAGTCTGTCATACATTTGTCAACTTTGAATTAGAAGTTCCCATGTAATAACATGGTTATATATATATTTCCTCATTGCTTACATTCATAGACTCTGATTACCATTCCATGATGGGGATAATTCATTATTATTTTTTTAAATCCTCACCCAAGGATATTTTTCCATTGATTTTTTTTTTTTTTTTGAGAGAGAGAATGGAGGGGAGGGGAATGGAGGGAGAGAGAAAGAAACATTAATGTGAGAGAGACACATCAATTGGTTGCCTCCCCTTTGCACTCCAACCGGGCCTGCAACTAAGATACATGCCCTTAACCACTGGTAATCAAATCTGAGACCTTTGGTCTTTGGGCCTATGCTCTAATCACTGAGCCAAACTGGCCAGGGCGGGGTAATTAATCTTGCCAAAGATCTACCTTCACTTCCTAACTGGGGCCAAGACTTATTAAAGCAACTATTGTCTGTGATGCTCTTTGCCAGGTGCCATGGGGGTGTAAGAAATAGTCCTATCTGTCAGTGACTTCCAGCTCTTATGTTTATGGAGTGATGGCATGTTATGGAAAGAGTTGGACAGGTTTCTAAAAAGCCTGTTCACAGGTGAAATCATCTCCATGCCCACCTCAGCAGATTTTTCCCACATCTTTTCACTTTTCCTCTGGCACCTTTCTCAATTCCCCTAATTTCTTTAGGTCTAGAGGTAGATTCTTACACAGTTGGATAATATGAGAAACTTGGGCCCAATATACATAATTTTTTCTATGGAAAGTGGCCAGGCCTAAGGAATAATATTTTAAATTGAATTCATACTCAGAACACAGCAAAAGAAAAGTTATATAGATTGAATAATCAAAAGATAATTACTTTTTAAGATCAATTTTTCAAAAATTTAAGCCAGTGCCTAGAGATATAAGTTTAAGAGATCAACTAAAATATTTTGTTGTGTTTTTTATCTCAAGGTCTACTAATGCCTCGGCGTAAGATTTTTAGTTTTCTTAGAGGTTGATCTTTTAGTTTTAATTGAAGAAAACCATATTCCTTGTTCCCCACTTCCTCTAAATCCTGGTTGTCTTTCAAGATCCAAGTTAAATTGTAGCATCCTCATGATGTATTTCTTTATCATTTCAACCCATGTTGAGTTTCCTCTACTTTGATTAACTGTTTCATTCATTCACTCATTCATTTATGTATATTGAGTACCAGTTATGTACTGGTGACTAGGCACTAATGATAGAGTAATGAACAAAATAAAAACATCCTTGTCTTCATGGAATTTGCATTCTAGTGGGAAAATAAATTATACAAATAAAACATATGCACCTATCTATATCTATGTAGAAAGGTAGTTAGATGGTATACAAGATAGACATAAGGGTGTAGGTGCTATGGAGACAAATAAAGCAGACAAGGAAAATAAGATGAGTCAGGTAGGGTTTTAGAACTGCACCTCAAAACAGGGTGCTTCTGGAAAAGATTCTCTGAGAAGATAAAATTAAGTCAAGACCTAAAAGAGTTGAAACAATAAGCTGCACAGAAATCTAAGGTGGGCTGAAGCCTGGTGTGGGTAGGGCATGGCAAGAGCTTATAGCAGGGTAAAGGGAATGATAACAGGGAGAGATGAAGCCAGGGAAACAGAGGCACTTGAGAAGTTGAGATGGTTATAAACAGATGAGTTGTGACTTTGAATCTTAGAAAAACTAGCAATTACAAATAAAATGTGTTCAGAAATCATATTTACAATATCATTCAGTCTCTTTGGACATAATGAATCAGAATCAACAATTCCATTAAGACACACAGGCTATAAGGAAGAGGAAAGCACTAGAAACCTACCTTCGCAGAATCAGAAACATTATCCCAGTATGGAGAAGGAAAGTCCACTTGTCCCATCAAGATCTGGTCAAAAAGCACCTCCTGGTCATCACCACTTCTATTTAGATGAACGACAACAGTGAGAGAAAAACAGGACTGAAATGTCAACTCAGGATATTCTTAAGCATTGGAGCCCTTCCTTTCCCCTTAAATGTGTAAAATGAGTTTTAAGCAATTCAAAATGTTAATATGGAACAGTTTTGGTAAATTGCAATAAAATGAGTTTCTAAATTATATGAAGAAGATATATAGAAGGCATGTAAATTAGCATGCACAACCTGAAAAAAATAATAGACATTATAAGTCAAATTCTTATTATTGTCTTTTTGTGCTGCAGGCTGATCAGATCTTTCTGAGAATAGAGAAATGCTTTGTTGGTGCTAATAAAAGATTGCTGCCCATACCCACGAAACGGAGGGAAGCCACACAGCAGGATATACGTGATTACACCAGCTGCCCAGATGTCTACCTTGAGGCCATATCTGAAAAAGTAAGTGACATCAGAATTACAAAGTCAGACCAGGACAAATTGTGGGGCATGGCAAAATAGGTGATTCTCCTATTCTAAACCAAAAAAACTGAACCAGACAAAACAAAAACCCAACAACAAACACTAAATTAAAACCCACCAAGTAAACAGAATTCAAGAAAAGAATAATAAAAAAGAGATTATCTAAGGCACATGAATAAAAATCAAAGTAATGCATGGCTAGGTTCCTATCCAGATATCAGTAAGTGAAGGGTTTCAGCCAAAAGGTTTATTATAGTCATATCAATTTTACTTTTATGTTCAAGCACAGGTAATTTATTTGGGAGGTGATCCCAGGAAACACCAGCTAAGGAGTGGGGAAATGAGACAGAGAAGGGAAGGGAAGTTATCAAATCAGTTACTAATGAGGGCAACTAGGGCTGAATCTCCCTAGGAGCTCTGAGAGACTGTGGAAGAACAGGAACCTGAGAGTTTTCCCACAGTAGGGTGAGGAGGCTGGGTATCTATATACTCATTCCCAACAGTAATTGGTATCGCTGCCGGGGTGGATATTAATTCCTTGTCACTGTAGCCTTTTTCCTACTCATTGAGGGAAAGCTCCAGCAGCCCAAGGGAGCCCCTAAAAAAAGAGTTGCAGGTGCTGTCAGGTAGAAATTATGAAATAGGTGGTCTTAAGGGTATACAGGTAGAGCACTGACAGCATCTACTACTTTAATCATCTTCCGAGTCCTATTTCAAACAATATGCTAATACTCATCAAGATATATATTTGGATAGAGACACTTCATAGAGACCTGTATAAATAAAACTCATGATTGATAACCAAGCCTCTTCCTAAAAATTAGATTTCATCTTTCCCCTAACAAAATGTTTAGTGGAATTGCTCACATGGAGCAAAACAAATTGGTTTGAGTTACTTGCCAGTCTAAAGCAACACTTTTGGGACATCTGTGTTTTGTTTTGTTTTGTTTTGCCATCACCATTTATCCCCTCTACACTCTCTTCCACCTCTACTGCTCTCTCCCCCAGGAATCACCACACTGTTGAGTTCTCTCTATGTCTCTTTTTCTTTTTTTGCTCAATTCTTCCACCCTACCCCTACCACCAACACCATCCACCACCAGAGCTGTCTGCCTGGTCTCTATCTATGAGTCTGTTTCTATTTTGCTTGGTAGTTCAGTTTGTCATTAAATTCCACATATGAATGAAATCTTATGATACTTGTCTTTCTCTGACTGACTTATTTCACTCAACTTGAAGCTCCCCAGATCGATCCATGCTGTTGCAAAAGGTAAAATTTTCTTCCTTTTTATGGCAGAGTAGTATTCCATTGTGTAAATGTACCACAGCTTTTTTATCCACTCATCTACTAGTATTAAAGGACACTTAGGCTGCTTCCAAATCTTGGCTATCCTATCTAATAAAAGAGAAACATGGTAATTAGTAGCCGACCGCTACCCTTCCCATTGGCTAATCAGGGCGATATGCAAATTAACTGCCAGCCAAGATGGCGGCCGGCAGCCAGGCAGCTGGAAGCGAACATGAGGCTTGCTTGCTTCAGTGAAGGAGGACTCCAACGTTCCCCGCCTGCC